CTTTACATACATTGGCCTGTTCACCAGTCATTATCTGCTCTGTGGAGAGGTGAGTAGGAGTTAAGATTTTTCATTTCTTTACATACATTGGCCTGTTCACCAGTCATTATCTGCTCTGTGGAGAGGTGAGTAGGAGTTAAGATTTTTCATTTCTTTACATACATTGGCCTGTTCACCAGTCATTATCTGCTCTGTGGAGAGGTGAGTAGGAGTTAAGATTTTCCTCACCTGAAAATATATTTAAGGTAGATACCTCTCCACTGAACCAGTCACTGCTACCCTCCTATCGATGGAAGGCTGTGTTGTAATGCTGGTTGCATCATGTATTGTTATAGTACATGTTAATACACACGTGGGTGGGAGTTTCATTCAAGGTTTGCGCATGTGAAAAAATAACTTTGACGTATTAGCTATCTGTTCTGCCGAGAGGTGAAGAAAATGTAAACTTTACCTTTATATTATATTATTGGTAATAGACAAATTTAACTTGTATCCCATGTGTTCTTTAGAACAAATAGTGTAAAAAAGTCTTTGCTAAAGAAATATGGTAGGTTATCATTATGATGTGTCACTTTTATTGGCGAAAATGGGAAGTTCATATAATCCGACTTGAATGTAACTATATGTATTTCTGACATCGGTAAATATCTTTTATTTATGTATACATTTTACTGGTTAAAACCACTGGTCCATAACAGAAAAGTAAGAGTTTTTTTTTATTAAACAATGTACTTCACACTTTCTTTTGTATAAACTCGAGGATTGGGAAATAATAAGTATAATATTGAGCAGAACAAACCTGTACATGATAACATCATAAATACATCAGAATGAGTTCCCATGGAAGAGTCACTTTTATCTGCTTCCAGGAAAAAATCCAATTTGTTTGTAATACTAACTCTTTTTATTTATTGTTTATCCATTGGACACGTTTATGGTACCATTGCAGGTGTTTGGAGTATGGTTGTCATTAAGTTTCTGTCATATATACCAGTCTTAGTGAGTTTATTTCGGGCTACAGTTTGGCACAGCATCCAGTTGTGTCCAAGTCTCATTGTAAGTATCCTACAATTGTACTGAGCTAAAATAAAACAGACTGCAGTCATCTGCTTTTATTGTGTATGTCTTGACCAGTTTCATTCATCAACTGGTTCTCCACATGAGGTGAACAGATCTGTTCTTTTTTTGTCTAACCGGTGTTCTTGAACAGTTTTAAACTCTGCTAGGGTTTGTTTCAAAAAAAGGTAAGGTTTATTCCTTTGTGATGAAGTATACAATTTGCGTTTTCTCTAAGTACAAGTATATTTTGTCTGTGAATGACATTGATATAGTTTGGTATATTTTTTCTAGGTGTGTCATGGTTAGACCAATTATTTGTCATGCTTGAACTGGTTTTGCTTAGAATCTACAAAGTTTAAGAACTGTTGATGTTGCAGTGTGGATTGGACACAGATCACAGGATTAATTAAACTCACATTTTTTCTGTGTGTTCGGTTTCAGTTATTCACTCAGGCATTAAAAGTTTAATGTATTATTAAATCTGTCTTGTATTTCATAAGAAAGCCTAGCATGGTCTGGTGGGTTGGGTGCTCAATTCGCAATCTGTGGGTCATGAATTTGAATTCCAGTCACTGAAGATGCTCTCCCTTTAAGCTGTGTGAGCATTATGATATGACGACCCATTCAACTATCATTGGTAAAAGATTAGTCCAATAGTTGGCACTGGGTGGTGTAGACCAGTTGCCTTCCCTCTAGTCTATCACTGCTAAATTAGAGATGGCTAACGTAGATAACCCTCAAGTGGCTTTGTGCAAAATTGACAAAAAGTAACAAAACAAATCTCTATTTCATAAGAAAATAAGCCCCCCCCCCCAGTGGCACAGCGGTATGTCTGCGGACTTACAACGCTAGAATCCGGGTTTCGATACCCGTGGTGGGCAGAGCACAGATAGCCCATTGTGTAGCTTTGTGCTTAATTACAAACAATAAGAAAATAAATAAAATATTTCTTGCATATCAAGATTACCCATTCTGGCTTGTAAGTTTAGGATCAAACAGGAAGTAAATTGTATTTAGATATTTTCTTGTTTACTTTAAAGCATGTAAGGTTCTAAACTTTCATAATCACTGTACGTCGCAGTCAAACTTCGACTACAGTTCGATGATGTTTGGCAATGTAAATAAAACAAAGACTTTAGGAGGTTAGGAAATTTTTTATTCAGTGATGGCCTCGAACAGCAACTGATTACGTAAAAAGTTGTGATGCTCCTATATTTTTCCAGTTTTACCCTGAGCTTTTCTAGATGTTTCTTCTATGGCCTTTTTTTCCTTTTTTGTGCAAAAAAAATTATCTTATTCATTCATTGGATAATAGCACTGTGAAAATATACACGTTTAGTGAACAATATATAATACCTATTTTAATAACAATGTCATGTCTCTATTGACAACAATATTATCAAACAATCATTATAGAATTGTTTCTTATATTGCTGATGAGAAATGTCCATTGTCCCTTCTGAACTAAATCAGTGGATGCAGCAAAGATAGTAACAGTGTAAGGGGAAAGAAATGTCCATTGTCCTTTCTGAACTAAATCAATGGATGCAGCAGACATTGTCCCTTACAGTGTTGAAAGAAATGTCCATTGTCCCTTCTGAACTAATTCAAGGGATACAGAAGAGATTGTTTTATAATGCTTTGGAGGAAATCTCTGTTTCCAAATATCAGGAAATTAGATGATGCATTTTCAAAAAATTGTAAATTTTACTGATGAACGTCAGTGAAGACATATCGGAACCCATTTTTTTGTTGTTGTAGATGGATGATTGAAAAAACAAAATTGCAAATTTATTTCAGGACTCTTAGTATCCTGTATTTCAAATATTAATAAATGGACAAGAAACCAAAATATAAAGTTTGAAGTTGAATACTTTATTTCATAAATGTAATCAAGATTATTGTGATTACATTTTCAAAGTGAAAAATTAATAAAATCATACAAAGATCCTTCTGCTAATTCCTACTACACAGAAAAGAAGAATGCCATTGCTGGTTATACTCATATTGTCTTCCAAATCTGGTTAACAAAAAATTAAGTCTGGAAAACGAAATATAAAACTCTACTTGGTCCCTTGATTTTTTGTTTCTTTTAAAATCTACGTTACAAATTAACAATAAATCATATAACACTAAATAAATAAAACAAATACAAGAATTCACCTAATCTCACCATGATATTTTGTGCGTAAATGATTTTTCTTTTCGAGTCAAGGTGAAAAATCAATAACAAAACATTCAATACTCAGTTCTGTTGTTCTCAATACAGTAATGTTATACAAATTTAACTATCGGGAATTATAAATCATGAGATAGAGAAAACTTCATCTTAATTAGTTGAGAAGATTGAAAGTAATAAGACTGGTGTTAAAGTTTTCTTATTTATCCTTCAGTGAGTTGATATCTCAAATTCGTACCACCATTTCATTAACTGTGTGTGTACGTATATAAAATATACATCTTAATCCATACAACATGGGGTAAAAAATAACAACGTGATTCAGATTACGTTGAAATGGTGTAGGTTCTCGGACCTGGTTTTTATTTATCTCCATGCCCTGCTTCCTTTCTATAAGTATTTCACCTGAACAGAGCCCATGGACCACACATTGAGAACCACTGGTGTAGGTAAATACTACGTTGTGATCAGTTAGTTAGTTTAATTATTTATAAAACCGTTTTATTATTATGCTAATTAAAGAAGGTATGTTTAGTTTTGATATAAATGTGGGCTTTTATCTTCTGTCTACTGCCGAGTCTTGCGTTCTAGTGGCTTAGCTCATAAGCAAGGCTAGCCAATTCTCGAACTTCGCGTTGAGCACTCCGTTCATATTCTTCCTCTACAATTTCAGCAGAATTAAAAACTGCTTCATATTCTTGTGTAAAGACGTTACCTTGTATCGTATAATTTAACATTTTGTACTTAACTCCATTTCTTCTGAATTTTCCTATAGCTAAGAAAATTATCTTTTTTGGTTTGCATGTTATTAGAATATTTCTTAATGCCTCAAAGATATTACCATAAGTAGTCATGTCATCCAAGACACAAATCACGCGGTTGGAGAGCTTTTTATTGTAACAACCATTAATAGAAATAGATTGAAAGTCTCTCTGTATACAATTTTCTTTCATTCTCTCTACAGATGATAAACATTTCGAGGGTTTAACACAACGGGTGCGTACAAACATGTTCTCTGATGGAGACATATTTTTTGGCAGTCTTCCATACATAAGATATCTTAAATGTTCTCTTAAATCTAGCAGAACATCACTTAGTCTTTCTTTTGATGATGGAGCTATTGCCCAGTCTTGCACTTCACGAAATTCTGGGGTGTGTTGGATGGCTAAAAAAAAAGATAAATATATAACTTAGTTTTAAATTCACTTGACTACTAACACATTACAGATTGCTACTGTAAAATTAATGCTTTTCTCTAGGACTGTGGTACAAATGCAAATTTGTATTGGAGGAAGGAATTTATATCTGTAATGTCTGTCTTGCACAGTTGGTGCCAACAATAGATTACAAGTATGAATTCACTTCCTCTGATACATTCTGTTTTACA